AAAAAACTTTTAATTCAGCTAGTTGCCAAAGCAACATTTGTCATTTTAACATTGTCATTTAACTTGATGTGCTAAAATAACTAAAACTAAATTGGAAATAAAAAATTAATAAATTATAACAAATTATAGACTTGACAAACACACAAAAAAATGACAAACACACAACAAAATTACTAAAACTTTAACTAAAATCAAAAGGAAAACAGAAAATATGAAAATAAACGCTGATTCAAAATATTAATAAAAATATATCAATGATGTATATGTCTTATTTTATATATCAATATAATTTTTTAATATTTTCTTAAACATTTTAATGTTTTTTTATTTTTAGTTATAATTTTAGTTTTAGTTTTCGATAATAACCCTGTTACTCTGGTACCAGAATAAACATCTCATGCCTCCAAATCCTGACTCTTGTCTTAGATTAAGACACACGCTTGCCGTAAGGTTGCTTCTGACAAAAAGAAGCACAAAGCTGTTGTCTTCCTCTAAACTTCTCCCCGTTTCTCCCTCAGGGCTCCTCCATCTGTCGGCCGGAGCGGAGAGACGCTCGATGTGAGCAATATCACGAGAGCAGCTGCTGTCAGGAGCAAAGATGGAAAGGAAGGGCAGCAAAAGGTGAAATAAGAGCCAAAACCAGAGCTTTCATACAACCACGCAAGAGTGGGCTTGTACGTGTGTGACCTCAAACGTAGATCGTGACGTGCCAGATTCAGCTCGTTTCTAATTAATCTGACAGTTCAGACAGCAGCGAGGTGAATGATGTTTTGGCGGCTGCGGTCGGGCGGCACCCAGCGAATGTTTAAAGCAAACAGAGACAATGTCTCGCTGCAGCTCGCACTCTGTTTTCTCAGTAAACAGTTGCGACACTACCGTACGGCATATTTATGATTAAAGAAACATATCATGTGACTGTCATAACGACAGCAAAGCTGCAGTAATTCCATCGCTTGACGTGTTAAAGGTGAAACTTTTTCCACTTCAAAAGTTTTAGCTCTTAAGAAATGCATGAATGATGTGTGATAGTATTCAATCGATACGAGTTTCTCAATGGCCGATAATGATGTCATCTAAAGAGTCAATATTGTGCCAATATATGCATACTACAAATGCGATGCTCACAAGCTTATTTTGCATATTTATTTAAAATGCAATAAAAAATGGTGGGCATGGTTATTGGCTGGGCTTATCAATCAAATATTAGTCAATTAATCGCCTTGTATTTCCACAAATGCGTCGTAATGCTGTCAAACGATTCGCATCCTAAATATAAGTTTTTGTTTACATAATATATATATGTGAAAAATATGCTATGTTTATATATTTAAAATATTTATATATAATATAAATGATATGAATATAAAAATATATACATGGAAATATTTTCAAAATATATACTGTATGTGTGTGTATTTATATATACATAATAAATATACACAGTATAAACACATATATTATGTAAACAAAAACTTTTATTTTGGATGCGATAACTCACGATTAATCGTTTGACAGCACTAGTCGTAAACCAAACCATTTCCACCAACTGTAATCAGTATGAAGTCTAAAAAAATGCACATTTAATGTTTTTAAATCTATTAGCTGAGCTTAAAGTCTTTTTTTATTGTTTTATTTAACATTTCACTATATATGCAAACTTCTTGGTTCTCGCATGTATAGTGATCGTATGGAAGCATGAACAAGATTGCGAGCTAATCATACTTGGAAAATAATGTGCAAGTACTGACAACTTTTGTAAAAAAAAGTTTTTTTTCGAAAATTTGATTTTATGAAATTATTTTGTTCTTTTTTTAATATTGTTGTTTAAGTACTAAATTCACTAAAACTGCTATAACAAATAATCTATAGCTAATTAGAAATATTTACAAAAAACTAATAAAATAAAAAAAAACACTTAAATAAAAACTAAAAAAATGAAAATGTAAAAATAAAAGTCAATTCAAAATATTAATAAGTACTGTAATAGTACATAAATAATACTAAGACAACACTGGTGTCAACATTATGCTAAATAATGCATTTGTGTCTTACAAAAAACAACAACAAAAACAACTGTGTTTTTATTGCTAACTAAAACCATTCAAAGTCATTAAATGAAATTAAGCTAAATAAATAAATAAATAAATAAAAATTTAGAAATGTTGGCGTAACAACCAACTGAAATAAAAAAAAGTTTAAGTACTAAATTTAATAAAACTGAAAAAAAAATTAATTAAATAGAAATATAAATATAAAAAAATAAATAAAAACAATAAAAAACACTTAACCAAATAACTAAAAATTAAATACAAATAAAAGTTGAGAATATAAAAATAAAAGCTAATTAAGAAGTACTATAATAGTACATAAATTACACTGAAATAACAATGGTGTCAACATTATGTTGAATATCCCTTCTTGCATCTCACAAAAAACAACCCAAATTATAAATAACATGAGAGTCCACTATCCCTTTAATTTCATATAAACACGCTCTCACACGTCTGCTTGTTTTCAGAAAACAGAAAGAGCGGTTCTCCAGGTCAGAGATGCAGCGATGGGTTTTCTCACACCTGCTGACGCAGTACTCCTCACAAAACCTTTTCCAAGAAAATAAACGTGAGCGGAGACAGCAAGCGCGGGTCGCCCAGCAGAGTCCTGACTTCCTCCCAGAGTTCCTGTGATGCGCAGTGTGTTTCCTGGTACAAGCATGTCCCGGAGCGAGAGGGCATGGGAAAGAACGCTCTGCCCCCTTTCACAGTGGTAAACTGAGCTAAAACAAACCCGGGACAGAAAATATAATGAAATATAAATATTAGATTAAAAAAACTTAGTTGAAGTACTAAATATACTGAAGACTACAATAAATAGAAAATAAATAGAAATATTAAAAAATGAATAAAATGACTAAAACTTGAAATGAAAACTGAAAATGTAAAAATAAGTCAAAATATTAATAATAAATACTAAAATAAAATATATCAATAATATTAAAAAAAAAAAACTGGTGTCAACATGATGCTAAATAACTTTTGTGTCTCTCCAAAAACAAAAATAAACAAACAAACAAATAAACAAAACAGGGCTTTCTATATGTAATATATATGTCTAATACACTTTTTTCCCCCGAATCAATTCAATTCAATTGGGGGAGATTTCTCTTAAGAATCATGGTAATGTAGTTTCTCACCAGTATCTCTGCTGTTAAAAATTATGATTATTTAAAAAAAAAAAGTTGAAATCATGCAGGCTGATTGGTTCATCAAAATCATATGCCACCAATGAACAAGCTCGTAGCTCACAGTAGGTCTGTCTTTAATGGTTTATTACTTATCAATAAAAATCAGTTCCTCTTTCAGAGATGCAGCGATGGGTTTTCTCACACCTGCTGACGCAGTACTCCTCACAAAACCTTTTCCAAGAAAATAAACGTGAGCGGAGACAGCAAGCGCGGGTCGCCCAGCAGAGTCCTGACTTCCTCCCAGAGTTCCTGTGATGCGCAGTGTGTTTCCTGGTACAAGCATGTCCCGGAGCGAGAGGGCATGGGAAAGAACGCTCTGCCCCCTTTCACAGTGGTAAACTGAGCTAAAACAAACCCGGGACAGGGCACGGCCGGGACAGAGCGCTATTCTGCTAGCGTTGGCGTCTTTCACGGCTATCGTATTTCACACAACGCCTTACATCATACATCAGCGTGCGCTGTCACATCTATATCTCTTTTTACCCAGCATAAATGTGGCCGTGAAGCTAAACCAGTTGGGGAACAACTGGTCACATGACGAAACCCTCAACAGTGGCTGCCCACATTTTCAGCGGCATTGGTTCCAG